TGTTGAAATAAAAACCAGGCGATGTTCAGAGACCCTCACGACTGAAAGCTGACGAACAAATCTTTAGTTTGATGTAATTATGGTTCATTTTTAAGTGTTTTTAACTCATTATATAACATTAGTGCTCGTTAAAGGACCATAACATGTTTTAAACACAGCGACACATATTCCCAGATTCATGAAAAGTGACTTTAAATGAGTTTTTCTGCAAAATTCTCAAAAAACAGTTATTTGTAATTATATAGTTCATATAATAAACATGTTTCTTTCCCATCAAATGTTTTTCTTATTATTATTAAAAATGTTTTTCATAAGTATAAAAACTAGTTTCGGGATTATTTCTGTAATTCTGAAACCTTTCCTTGTTTTTTTAAATCCCTCTCGCATCAAATATATTGTTCTCAATACTACCTTAAATTTGGGCATCATTTTAAAAATTAAGGTGTATATCTTAATAGTCTTTTTCTTTTTCCGTAATCATGTAAACAGTTTTTTTCGTGATTACGAGAAGAAAAAAAGAAATTCAAAATGTGTATATATTTATTTTTTTATTCTTTATTTTCTTATTATTTATTTTTCTAGTATCAAGTAATATTTTCCCCTAATTATACATAATTTTCCGTTATTACTAAATATTTTTTTCGTGACGAGGAAACATTTTATTCCTAATTATTTTCTTTAATAATTTGAAATATTTCTCGTTTCTTTTTTACCCTTTCTTTGGTGTTTGGAGAAAACTTCATGAACTTCATGAACTTTAAGCATCACGTACAATTAAAAACATTGTTTGAAATATTCCAGCAGCTCCACGTGTCGCTGTGCGTTGAGAAATGTAAACAGGAAGTCCTTTATTAAAGCAGCGGTGAAACAGGTTGAGGTGAGTTCACAAAGATCCTGTGTGTTCGCTGACAGGACGCTCCACTCGGAGTGAAAAAGCGGAGATGTTTTGGTTCATCAAGACGACAAAAAATGTAAAAGAAATGACACGGTGAGTTCAAACAAGGCAGTGCAAAAACTCCTCTTCCTCCTCCTCCTCCTCTTCCTCCTCCTGCAGTCAGTAGTAAACCTCCTCTCCTTCCTCCTCTCCTTGACTCCTTGTCTCCTCTCCTCTCGTTGGGTTCAAGCAGAGTTCAGATACTCCAGAGCGACTTCATAGCAGAACTTATACTGTTCCTGTAGAGGAAAATCACCCAAAAAACACACTTTTTAGCATTTAAATATACATAAATAAAAAATAAATATATATAAATAATATTACATTCATCTATAGATTATTGTACATTTCAAATAATTGAAAGAAAAAGAAATGTAAATATTACCAGCAGGTCCACCATGTTTGGTTTGTTGTTTCTCAGAGTTTTTACGGCGTGAAAGTTATCGACGCAGCGCTGCTGACGTAACATTTCACACACGATGCTGACGCTGCAAAACACTCCACTACGACCACCGCCATTTCTGAGGAGAGGAGGCAAGGAGAGGAGACAAGGAGAGAAGAAGAGGAGAAAAGGAGAGGAGACAAGGAGAGGAGACAACGTGAGAAGGAGAGGAGAAAAGGAGAGGAGAAAAGGAGAAGAGACAAGGAGAAGAGACAATGAGAGGAGACAAGGAGAGGAGATTTAATTTTCAGCATGTGTTTCCACTGTTTGGCCACCAGATGGAGACAAAACACCACAAATGAGCTCAGAATCAGTGCATTTGGAAGTATAACCGTATATCTTCAGTAGTATAGCAGTCTTTAACGATATTAATAGTAGTAATAAAGTACTCTGTGATGTCTCAAAGTAATCTGTAGTGTCATAAAGTACTATCTGATGTCATAGAGTACTCATAAAGTACTCAGTAATGTCTCCTAAGTACTCTGTGATGTCTTAAAGTACTATGTAATGTCCTAAAGTACTCAGTAATGTGTATTTGTGCAGTACTTCTCTCTTACAGGCAGTGCACCACGGTCCTCCCTTCCCCCCCGTCGTACTCGTCCTGCCACTTGTCCACCTGGTGGACGAGCTTCAGAAAGGAGCGCTTGTTTACGGGCGTGTCGCGGTACATCGGCCAGCCGAGGAACTGGAACTGCTGCACCATGCGGTACCCGTCCTGAGGCTGGGGGGAGACAGGGGGGAGACGGGGTTAAAACAAACACACCGTAACAGTAGGAGAGTGTGGTGAAAAAAGAAACACAACCCAAAGTGAAATCACTTGAAAGCTAAAGCTAAACACTGAGAGGAAGTAAGGAAAGGAAAGGTAAAGAGGAGGTGAGGAGAGGTTAATAAGCAGGCTAGGAAAGGAAAAAGGAAGCGGGAATAAGGAAAAGGAAGAAGGACATAGGAAAGGAAATTGGATACGGATAAAAAGGAAGAAGAAAGGAAGGCAAGAAGGAAAGTACAGGAAAGGGAAGGATAGGGGAAAGCTCATTGTAAAGGAGAGAAGGAGAGAAGGAAATAAGGAGAAAACCAAGTAAGGTAGGACAGGAATGAGGAGGTAAGGAAAGGTAAAGTAGGACATAGGACATGGAAAGGAAATAAGGACGTGGAAAAGGAAAGGAGAAGAGGAGGGAAGGGAAGGAGAAGTAGGACATAGGAAAGGAAGGGAGAATGTTAGTAATACATGTAAGAAGTGAATAAAGAAGAGA